TGAAACATTTATTCCCATCAGCTTCGTTATGGTTGAATGTTCCTACGGACCGTCTTCTGTATCTGGGTTGGATATTGTGAAGCCCGTCGGCGTTGTTTTGGTATGATCCTATTTTCGGCCTTTTAGCGTGGATTACGGACAGATTCACCAAAGGCTCGCCTTTCGAGGCCTTTTAATTGCTTCGTTTTTTCCTAAAGTATTTTGCGTAGAAGGCCTTGCATCAGATGTTTCGCGCCCAACCTGTCAAATGATATCATAATTTGATCGGACCGGATACTTTTACTGCGAACGGTGACGGATTTTTTGAGGTATTGTTGAAAAGAAAATAAAAACCACTTGCAGAAAGGTCATTTTTTTGAACGGCAGAGTGGTTGCACCTGCTGATTTTAGCCTTCGTAGTCGTCGTTTCTCTGCTATGGTAGTAGTAGTACCTGACTTCGCATCTACAACTTCTTCGTTGGCGACCAGCTAGCTAAATTTTATTCTTGTCGGGGCGCTCTTAAGTCCAGAAAAATAGGAAAACCTGTTGAATTTGCAACTGTAAGTTGGAGAACTGATCAGTTGTCCCTAAGCATATGGATTATTTGCAGAATGTAATTACCGACAAAGACAAAGCAGACTGAAACGGCCGTTTCTGGCTTATTAGCCGTGGTGAACCTGTCATTGCCAATTCCAAAGTGGGGACAGCTAGATTCAAACCCACTGGAACAGCCACTGCCTTATAAATCGTGTCGCCAGATCGATGTTCAGCACCGCTGATGCAACACAGGACACCGGTACCCTCATCTCTTTGGTCATCGGCCGCTTTACGCCCATTTCTTGTCAATCTTGTCTCAACTTCTTCCAGACCTGTATGGCACTCCTTAGTTGAGAGGTGCCAGTTTTATGGTTCTCTCACGAGAGGCCTTTCCACAAAAAATACGTGCAGACTACGTCTGTTTAGCCCGACCGTCGATCCTAGCCGGCTCGAAGACGGAACTGCGGTTAAGCATTTATTGTGCGTGGGTGTAGCTCAAAGTAGTTTTGGCAGAACCCACTGCTGTCTCTGTAGACAAACTGCAGCGACGAAGCCGGAAGTAAAATTCGCTTCCTCGTTTAGTTTAGGGGACAAAAGTGTTTTTTTCAAAACTCCTGTATGAATAAAGGTTTGTTCATGAATTTAATTTTCTACTCTAACGGTGAATGTTGTCGTAATTTTTTTCTGAAGGTGAGACTGGTTGGTTTTATTGAGATTTTTTTATCTGTAATCCCAGAAAACGCAGTAAAAAATAAATACTGTCAGATCAGACAGCAGGGTCAATAATAACAGAATTGAGGGGCGTCATAAAGAGGCAGGAGCTTGCTGACCGCAGCAAACGCAGTGTGTTCTCAGAGCCCCTCTGTAACCATAACATCATTCCGACTTTGATCATCAAGGTCAGGCCATTCCGAAAAATCCGCGAGAAGCAGGTTTTGTGAACTCTAGGGACCGGACTGAAATTTAGACCCAAAGAAGTTGGTAAGCAAACGACGGACACGATCAAAGGAGTAGTAGGGGAACACCTACTAAGGATTTTGAATTAACAGACTGTTAGCGTGTTTTTTGTGCTACTAATAAGTGCTGAGCATCGTTATTTACAGAAGCGATATTCTACCCTCGTGGTTTTGCTGTGGCATTCACCATGGTAGTACTGAGAAAGACGGCCCAAAGGTTTGTGATCGCCTCCGGTGCCCTAATCAACAAACCGTGATACTCGTAGCCTGGTGTGAGCTGACAGTTCTCCGATGCCTGGTTTTCTGGCGGTAGATGCGCTCGCACCCCCGCCAAGTATACTGCTGGTTGGAACGGTCATCCCATTTCTTGTGATTTCTGTTTATTTCCTCGTTGGTCAAAGCCACGGCCAAGGGCTTGTTGTGAACCAGGAATGTGAAATGGAACGTCGTGGTGCAGGTTCGGCCGCGCCGTCAACCTGCGCCCTTCCTCACATCCGGTGTTCTTGACCCTGTCTTGACACCGGGCCGAAGTGGAAGGTGGGATGGAGGAGGGAGAGCACTTTAAACTAACCTACTTGAAAGTCACCATGCCCGCTCTTATCTTTCTTTGCAGCACACGGTAGACACAGTCGTCAGTGATGGTCAAACTGCCGTGTCTCGGTTTATTTATCATAGTCCTGCTCAGTAGGCTTGCTATTCAGAGTCGATCATCAACGAGCGAACTTAAAGCAATTCAGTCACTTACAGTACAGTGCGTGACCTATCTCATGAAATGTTGGCTGAAATTCTGAAATGCGTTTTCGATTAGGAAGGACTACTTGGTCGCGGTTGTAATATTGATCATCTTAAGGCATACTCTTATAACATTTCGGACTCGGCAGGATGTCGGCTTTTAAATGAACTTCTCTTCAATCTCCTGTAGAAAGCTTGCTCGGTAAAAAATGGCTACTTAAGTAGCATGCCTTTTTCCAATAATTTTCGATGGCCTTGGAAATCCAAATATATTTTATAGAAACCATAAACAAAAATAAGCTTTCTATTAGTCAATCAATTGAAACTCATGTCTTCTTTGTATTTTATACTTAAAGAAGGAGTATAATAAGGTTTTAAAATAGTTTTCTAATTGCCGAATAATTTGGAGCCTGATCATTCGTTGCATTAACGCTTAGTGGTTTCACTCTGCAAGGTGCATGGCTTCCGCGTAAAGAAAATCACATATTTTTCTATGCCATTAAAAAGATATCATACAGAGTTCATTAAATTTTGTAATGAATGCGGACCATGTTGTACATTTCATAAGGAGCAGTGGTAAACGGCCAGGTCCGATGATATGTAAATGGACATTTGCGGTCTTAAAAAGTCTCACAATTAGAAACTTTTTAAATACCTAATAATACTCCTTTCTTAAGTATAAAATATGAAGAATACGTGATTCTCTATTGATTGACTAAAAGAAAGCTTATTTTTGTTTATGGTTTCTATAAAATATATTTGGATTTCCAAGGCCATCGAAAATCATTGGAAAAAGGCATGCTACTTAAGTAGCCATTTTTTACCGAGCAAGCTTTCTACAGGAGATTGAAGAGAAGTTCATTTAAAAGCCGACATCCTGCCGAGTCCGAAATATTATAGAATTATGTCGCAAGACAATCTGCATAACAACTGCGACCTAGTAATCCTTCCTAATCGAAAACGCATTTCAACATTTCAGCCAACATTTCATGAGATAGGTCACGCAATGTAGGTGGGCTAACTTATGAAATGTCAGCCGAAATTCCTAAATGCGTTTTCGTTTCGGAAAGACTAATTAAGTAGGGATGTAAAACTAGTCAGACTTTAAGGGAATTCTATAATAATTCAGCTACATCAGAGTTCCGACTTTCGAGAGACCTTCCTTCCGGCTGCATGCAAAAGCTACACTTTGCAAAAATGACTACTTAAGTAGCATGAATTTTTCTCATCGATTTTCAATGCCCCTAAAAGTACAATTATATTTCATGGAAAACGTGCATAAAAATAGTGATTCTTTCGCTCATTCCGTAGACAATTAGGTCTTCTTTGAATCGCTTGCTCGAAGGAAAGGTGTAATTCTGTTTTAAAAAAACTTTCCCGATTCCCGAATAGTTTCGAACCCGCTCTACCGTTACACTTAGATTCAGCGTTTTCAAACTACAAACTGTATATGTTCCGCTTGCCGAAAAACCGTACATTTCTCTACGATAATAAGGGAAGACCATATGGGGTTCATGAAATCTAGCAGTGGATTTGATCCATGTCGTTACCTTACAAGCCGCATTGATAAGTGCAGATATATGAGGATTTATGAACAGCCATTTATCGGTATTTAAAAGTCTCACAATTAGGGACGTATTAAAACCGAATGATGTCAGGCTTTCGAGTATAAAATTAAAAGGCGACGTAATGGGTTAACGAATAAGTGGACGAATGAATATTTTTCTGCATGCTTTCCATGAAATCTAATTGGACTTTCAGGGGCATCGAAACTCAATGATAAAAATGCATGCTACGTAAGCATTCCTTTTCTGCAGAGTGTAGTTTTTGCATGTAGACGGAAGGAAATTCATTCGAAAGCCGGCATCCTGAGGTAACTGAAATCTAGTAGAATTGTGTTGTAGGCTGACAAGTTTTACAACTCTATTTAATTAACCTTTTCGAAACGAAAATCAATTTCGGAATCTTAGTTGACATTTCGTGAGTTAGCCCACCCACTGTGTGGTGTACACAATAACTGCAATTTATCTACAAATGGCAGTTTAATTACAGAAACCGGCAACACATGAATGGAGGTAATACGAGATTGTTTTAACAGACATTGAACCCACCAAATGACCATAATGGGAATTTCTTAGTGTTTTCTTATACGCACTGACCGCAGACATAGACTTCCAAAGAGACAGGCGTTCTCCAACTATCCGTCGCTTCCCGGTGGCGAATGCGGAGCAATAAAATGCTGTGAAGGACTGAGACCGAGTTTTAAGTGGACTCAGTTTAACACGGCTACACCTTGAGTCGCAAAGAACTCGGTCACGTACAGTTCAGGGATTCTTCCAAGAAAACTACCTGCTCTGTTCAAAGGTGGATTGGCAGAGTCCGTTAGAGCTTCTATACCATCAGCGATGATTTTACTAACTTTCGTTGGTCCCATTTGATTTGCTGCTGTTTCCCATTTTCCGTAGTCTGTTTAACAGGTTCAAATGTTTTTGCCAGACGATGGGGGGGGGGTTCTTGCGCTGTGAGGAGGCGCGAACTGTTGCAGTTCCCCCGGCTAGACCGAAGGCGGCGCGTAGCGGTGCCGAAGGAATTGTTGATGTCTAAAAAACATGAGTAACCAAACAGTCGGCGAAATGAACATGGCGTCCACTACGGGTGATATCTGTACAGGGGGCACAGGGGTAGAGTGAGTATGGCTCGCGGTTACAGTGTTGCTGGTTGATGAAGGGGTAGTTGCAGTTGGGAATTTGCGGACGTCGGGGCAGAGGAAGTAAACGGAACGGAGGGATAGAGGGTCAGGGGGGGGGCGGAGCAGGGGGTAGGGGATCACAGGGTTCATCCGGTGGAGCGTCCGGGACGGCAGCTTTAAGACGTTCCACGCTCACGACCTCCTCGCGAGGTCCGCGTTGCATGCGGAGGTTCTTCGTCCCACGAGAGATAACTCGGAAGGGCCCGTCGTAGGGTGGTTTCAGGGGCCGGCGGACTCGACCACATTGGAGATAGACGTGAGGGCACGTTGCCAAATCTTTCTCGATGTAAATCTCGGAGACGTGCGGCCCGGGCGGAACCGGAGAAAGTGTCCGCACAAACTGCCGGAGGCGATGCAGGAGGTTTGTAGGATCCTCAACTGCAACTCGCGGAGTTGGCGAGATCATCTGACCGGGAAGTCGGACGGTGGCACCGAACACGAGTGCAGCAGCAGGACAGTCAAGGTCCTGTCCAGCAAGACCAGGGGGAGACGGTCTGTCCAGTTCTCCGGATCGTCTGCGGCGCGTAGGAAGGCCTTCAACTGACTGTGAAACAGCTCGAACATCCCATTGGCGGACAGATGAAAGGCTGTAGTGCTGATGCGAGTGCAGACCTAAAAGAGAGAAGAGACTTGAAGAGGTTAGATTCAAGTTGGGCACTGCGGTCAGTCATGATAGTGGAGGGTGCACCATAGATGGCAACCCAGCAACTGAGGAAAGCTTTGACGACCGTTGGAGCAGAGACATCGGGCAGGAACGTAGCTTCCGGCTACCGGGTGAATCGATCCACGTAGATGAGGAGATAGGAATAGCCATTGGATAGAGGCAGGGGTCTACAGTGTCCAGGTGGACAGAACGGAATCGCTCGTCCGGAATAAGGAAGGTGCCAATGGGAGCTTTGTTGTGCCGTTGGAACTCATTCCGTTGACAGGCAATACAAGCCCGTGCCCATGCTTTGAGATTCTTGTGCATCCCAGGCTAGACGGAGCGGTCGGAAACCAGCTTGTCGGTAGCTCTACTCCCAGGGTGAGATAGATTGTGAAGGGAGGAGAAAATCTTGCCGCGGAGGGAGGGTGACACAAATGGACGATAGGAAGGGGTGAATACGTCGCAAAAAATGGTGCCGTTGCCAGTAGTCAGCGGCAGGTCCAGGAGTTAGAATCCAGAAACGTCCACGTCACGCACCAACTTCGGCTGCCGAACAGAGCGATAAAGAGGCGTTTTACTCTCATTTGCAAGCGCTAGTTGAAAGACTGCCTCGCCGCGATCTGCTGATTGTTGCTGGCGATTGGAATGGTCGAACTGGACCTGGCGATCCCACAACCAGTCATCTTCTTGGCCGCTTTGGGCTTGGTTCCCGATGTGAAAATGGTGAGAGATTGCTGAACTTCGCTGATCGAAACCGACTGCTTGTCACCAACACATGCCTCCAGCATCGCAAAAAAATCTGCTGACCTGGTATTCAAAGGACGGTCGTACGGCCAGTCAGACTGACTACATACTAGTCAGCTCAAGGTTCCGCAGCTGGGTTCACGATAGCAGATCGATGCGTGATGCCGAGACTGGTAACGCCCATGGGTCGGATCATGTCCTCATCCGTACACGCCTGAAAGTTCATCTCTCATCCGCACCAAAAATGCCACGTGCTAGACGCCTCAATGTCGCAAAAATCCGGCAAGCCAGCACTGCCGAGGCCCTAAGCAGAGAAATCCGGACCTGTTTTACGGCCCGAGCCGACGGAGAAGTCAGTAACCAGTGGTCGTCACTGAAGACATGAGTCTATGGGGCAGCTGAGAAAATCCTTGGATACACCCAGCGACGCCGCAGTGACTGGATCAGCGGAAGAACCCTGCAGTTGTCTGCTCAGACGGCTAGAGCCAGGTACAGCAACGATGACTACTCCCGCCAACTTCGGAAGATGACGGCAAAATCGGCCAGGGATGACCGGAAACAATATTGAACTGAAATAGCGACATCCATGGAACAGGCCTCGAACGTTGGTCACACTCGAAAGCTCTATCGTCTGATCCGCCAAGTTAGCGGTAAGCCCTCTACAATGAGTGACTCTGTTCGCGATGTGAACGGCGGCTTTATTGCTGACAACTCGGCCAAAGTCGAGCGCTGGCGTGAGCACTTTGAGCACCATCTCAACTTCGATACCCAACCAACATCGCCCTTGTTCTCCTTCTCAGCGGAGTTTCTTCCCTCTCCTACCTATGCAGTGCCATGCGATCCCCCCTCCGAGGAGGAAGTCGCCGATGCCATAAGAAAGTTGCGCAACAATAAGGCACCCGGAGAGGACGGTATATCCGTTGAAATCTTTAAGTCTTATGTCGACACTCTGGCGCCCTGGCTCCATGAGGTGATTGAACGAGCGTGGAGAGACGAGGTTGTTCCTGATGACTGGGGCTTGGGCATCCTTGTACCTATCCTCAAGAAGGGAGATAAGACGAGATGCGAGAATTACTGCGGCATAAGTCTCATCGACGTTGCTGCGAAAATCTTCGCTATTGTCCTACTCAGACGATTCCAGGCTGTGCGTGACTCAAGGACGATGCCCAACTAAGCCGGATTTCGTGCTGGACGTGGATGCGCAGATCGGATATTCACTCTGAGGCGCATTCTCGAATTTCGCCATAGCTACCAACAACCGACGGCCGTCTGCTCCGTTGACTTTGCCGCCGCGTTCGATTCCGTTAACCGTGAGTCCCTGTGGCGGATAATGGCGCTAGATGGTGTACCGGCAAAAATCATCGCCATGATCAAGGCCTATTATCGCTCCACTACTGCGAGAGTCCTGGTCCGCAACAATATTTCCCAACCGTTCGGTATTCAGTCTGGCGTCCGACAGGGTTGTATCCTGTCACCCATACTGTTCAACTACGCTATTGACTGGATCCTCGGGAGGGCCCTACGCGACAGTGACGGTGTAAAATTTGCACCCGGACATCGACTGACTGATCTCGACTATGTCAATGATATCGCCTTACTTGCTTCAAGTTTTGGTGATCTGCAGTCTATGGTGTCACGAGTGAACGAGGTCACTAAATCAGTCGGTTTGTCCATAAACGCTGGGAAGACCAAAGTATTCTCAAGCTGCATCCCTGACCAGGAGAAGGCACCCCTGGGGATTGATGGCTGTCAACTTGAAGAAGTGGACAGTTTTAAATACCTCGGGGCGCGGCTGCTGCCTAATGGACAGAGTAAGGACGACATTGTCTCCCGAATCGATGCTGCCCGCTGGGTTTTTTAAAGCCTTCGGAAATGCCTGTGGAACCGACGTGACCTCTCCATCGCCACTAAGATTCGCGTGTACCGTGCATCTGTTCGGTCTGTCCTTCTCTACGGTTGCGAATGCTGGGCTTTGCACGTGGCGGATGAGCAAAAACTGGAGGTATTTGACCACCACTGCTTGAGGATCATCCTTCGAGTGAAGTTAACCGACTTCGTCTCAAATGAGATAGTCCGCGCTCGCTGCGACAACATCGCGAGGATAACTCAGGCCATCCAAGAAAGACGACTGAGGTGGTTCGGGCATATTCTTCGTCGTCCACCTCAGGAGCTCAGTGTTACTGCCCTCGATCCGGCACCGTTGCCCCATTGGAGGCGTCGAAGAGGGGGTCAGTTCAAAACCTGGCTCGAAACTGTCCGTCAAGACATGGAGGTGGTTCTTGGACCTTCGGTATTCGGTCTCCGTCGTTGGCGAAGGGAATGGGTTGAGCTGTCTAGATCTGCTGCCGCGGATCGTCACGCGTGGAGAGATACAGTTCGGGACATCATCGAGGCCGGCTAGATCAGGCATGATCGCAGCCGTATCAAGTACAAGTAAGTACGTCACAGGGAGAACCAACACGACGTTGTTCGTCAGTCGTCTCAGCTAGGTCGACCGCGGGAGAAAGTTGAATATTTGCGATGGAGGGCCTGGACAGTGAGTCAGTCACCTCATTGCGTGATCCGTCGATGTGGCGGAGGTCTGAGGTGGACTGTGAGATGTAGTCCAGTTGGTGAATTTGCCGGGGGGTTGAGCTTATCAGACGTGGACTTGAGAGCGAACGATAGGGACTTGTGATCCGTGAACACAGTAAAGTGCCGCAAGTGTTTCACGGCGAGCAAGACAGGAAGGAGCTCCCGTCCAAATGGGCTATAGCGCGCCTCGGCAGGGGAAAACTTCCTGGAGAAGAAAGCTAATGGTTGGGTGCGATCTGCAAGGTGCTGTTGGAGAACCGCGCCTACTGCAACGTTAGAAGCGTCAACCATGAAGGAGGTGGGAGCATCGGGAGAAAATGGGTCAGGAGGGTGGCGTCGACCTTGTCGAAAGCAGTGAGGGCGGCTGCAGGCAGCTCAAACGAACCTTTGGGACTCGAGAAGAGGCTCGCGAGCGGCAGGAGGGTGAAGGCATAATGCGGCAGAAACCGTCGGTAGAAAATTACAATGCCCAGAGATAGCTGCGGCTGACGTTTGGAAGAGGGGGAGGGAAATCACGGATGGTCGCAACCTTTGAGGGAAGAGGATGTATGCCATGGAAGTCGGCCAGATGACCGAGAAATTCTAGGAAGGAAACACCGAAGACGCCCTTTGACGGGTTGAGAAAAACGTCAAATTGTTGAGGGCGATCAAACGCCGTTGCCGCATGCTCCATTTGTTCTTCGGCGGTGGAGCTACCTGCCAGAAGGTCGTCGATATAGGCGTAGACAAATGGTAGGCCGCGAAGCACTCTGTCTACGAACCTTTGAAAGGTCTGGTAGTCGTTGCGGAGTCCCAACGGCATGCATAGGAACTCAAAGAGGCCAAGGGGGGGGTGGTGACGGACGTCTTTTAAACATCCTCTGGGGAGATGGGAATTCGATGGAAAGCACGGACCAGACTGATGTTCGAAAATACGGACTTTCAGAATAGGGCATCGACAAAATCCTGAAGATGTGGGACAGGGTAGCGGTCCAGGATAGTAATGTTTTCCAGGGCCCTGTAATCACCACAGGGGCGCCAATCAACAGTAGCGGCCTCTGGAAGCATGTGGAGGGGCGAGACCCATGGGCTTTAATACTGACGGATGAAGCCCATCTGAAGCATGTGATCGAACTCGGCCTTGGCGTCAGCAAGACGTGCAGGCGCGAGACGGCGGGGTCGACAAAACACGGGAGGGCCAATGGTTCGGATGTGGTGAACAACGTCATGTGGTGGAATAGAAGCTCTGAAGTTGGGACGAGTGAGGCCAGGATATTTGGCGCGGAGTTGCCGAAATTGATTTTTGGGTTCAGGGTCCAAAACGGCGAGTTTACGAGAAGCGTAGGGGGAAGAGTTACCCCGGACAGGAGGGCAGAGGGAGAAGACGGAGAACAGGGAGACGCGAACTGCCACAAGACTAGTCCTCGGTACCGTTTTGAGAAGATTTTCCGAATCCACACCAATAACAAGTCCCCTCAGTAACTGAGGAGTTATTATAAGTTAACATATGTTCGACTTATAGTGAAAAAAGAGAGTAGACGTCAAAACGGGCCAGGTGTTGCTGGTACAGCAATTTTTGGAGGTCAGAAACAGCCTTTATAGTACTTCATTGTATATCTTAAAGAAAATCTATGTCTTTCTGAAGCCATGGCCGCCAAAGCTTATGTTTATTTAAGGTTAGTCCGCAAAAATGCTTCAT